CCCCAAAACCCCAAAACCCCAAAACCCCAAAGAGCTTAATAAAGTGCAAATTTGAGATTATAAATCTAAATTCATAAATTTAGAAAATGAAATCAAGACGTTCCAATTCAATCAGATCAAAGACAAGTACATCAAGAGATTTTATGCTTTCTTCCTCTTCTAGAAGACAGCCTGCAATGTCAAGTGAATCAAATCAGATTGAGGCATAATAACTCCCACCCATTAAGTAGCAATAGTAACCAAGACCTGTGCCATTGCCTACCTTCAATCAATCATTGTTTGAAAGAGAGGACACTGATTACATGACATTTATTAAAAACGACAGCAATGTTCAAAACTTCTATAGCAAAATTCTTAAGAAAAAAATCAAGAAATTAGGTAAAATTTAAGCAGAGAACGAGTAGATGAAGTAGTTGAGTATGGGTTTCCAAACATTTGACTCTAGAAATTTGGCAACTTCCATAACAAATTATGATAAGTCCACAAATAATACAACTGATCTGAGCAAAACAAAAGAAGTAAGAAAGTTAGAGTTGAAAATGAATAGGTAAGACTCTCTAAGTAAGACGTTTATTGAGCCTCCTAGAACAAAACTTGGGTAGCTTGAATTATAATAGCCAGGTTCTTCTCCTTTTAGAAAGAAAAACTTACTATCAACATTAGACTTCAAAGATCTCAACATAGAAAAGCCTGACTCCAAAACTTTAGCTATCAGGGGCAAGAGTTAAGCTAAGCAGAATGTACAATCTAAGAACAAGGAAAAGAAGCATCAGTAATTAAGATTAAATGTTCAGAGTAGAAACGGATAGAAAGATAGGATTAGCACTTAGTACAAGAAATTCAAGGTTGAAAAAGATTCTGATTAGGAAGAGGAGAGCTACAGATTTGATAATGAGAGAAAGTACTAGAGTTTAGTAGTTGAAAGAAGGAAAGTCAACTTTTCAGAGATACAGAGCAAATTCACAGACAACAAGAAGCTCAGGAATCCAATGAGGGAGTATAAAGTGTCTTTATAGGATAAGATAACACTCAAAAGAATGAAGGAAAATAGTAGGCTTCCAATACCTGAAGAACTCCTAAATGAAAGCCAAGGAGTAATTAATCATAATTGACTAAATAGCGTTATAGTATATTCCACTGATAGACTCTCTGATGAATAGTGTCTATGATAGTGATGAAAACGATAAATGGAGAAATTATAGACCAGAAATTGATGCTCCAAGAGCCAGTTAGTGCTCTGATGAGATATATCTAATAGACTCAGAGTAAGTAATAATTCTTTAATCTGAATATTATAGAGTTGAATCAATGAAAGATCTTTAAATAGATGACTAAAAGGAAATCGATGCTAAATAAGTAACATAGGTAACTCTTTAAAGAAGTAAAGCAGTTACAAAGCAAAATACAAGTTCGAAAGATGTTGAGAAAGCAGTTGAAGAATTATAAATTATCAACAAAAACAAAGTATTCCCTGAGAGAATGGAAGTGGCAGGATTACCGTTGTATGTCGTAAGAGGCAACACATTACAAGATATTGTTACTTAATCGAATCAAGTAGTGGAGGAGTACTTTTAGATACTTAACAAAACTAGCAGCCAGGAGAAAATTACAACAACTCTAAGAATTGATTAGCTTTAACAAATATTTGAGTATTACTGCACTGAGTTTTAAGCGCAACCGATCAATTTGACATCATTTTATAAAGAACAAGATAAGATCCTAGAGATTAGAAATTATTTTTTGAACGAAAGTTTAGTGAGAGCTATTGCTTGTACTATTCCAGTAATAATTGCTTTTGACAATTTTAGTTTATTACCGATTTATAAGGATTGATATTTAGCGATAATTAAATACACGATGAGGGATCTGCCCTTTTGCTTTTGGCTCTTTATTAACTAAAGGATTTTTCCTTGTTTGATTTTCAAGGAAATAAGTTATAAGAGGAATTTATATATACATTTTACAGCCAAGTTTTAATCAAACCTTTGTATATTATAGATTTTGTAAATAATATAGGTAAATTAAAACTTTTAACATTTCAAACTCTAAATATATGGGAAACTACATCGAGAGATTATGCTGGGACTTTTAATGTAAGACTTAATATATACACTTAACAGTATTTAGTATTAAAAACCCTGAATACTTTGAATCTAAGTAGAATCCCTTTGAATCCAATATGCTGCTAAAGAATCGGGGAACTACTGCTTGACACACAATAATTAAGAGATCTTAATTTATCATCGTGTAAAATAAAAGGCCAAGGAACTAGGTACATCATTGAAGGCTTTGATATGAATAAAACTCTGACATTCTTCAACTTTGGGTTAAATGATCTGAGCAGTGAAACTTATGAGTATTCCTCACAGTTGGGGAAGATTTTAAGCAGACATAGAAGTTTGATGCATGTAGATCTTACCAGCACCAATTTAAAGGTAATAATGCAATTCAATATAAACTATTACTAGAAAGAAGAGGTATTATTTGTTTGCCTAGCTATTAATCATTCAAGAAGCATTCTGAGTTTACATTTATCAGGGAATGAATTAGGCTATTATGAGAGATTGTATTTAAGAAATCTTATGAGAGCGACTGTTTAATACCGCTTCAAAAACTTTGCCGAGAGGAATGACTTCTAAACCAAAAGAGAGTTGAATAAAATAAGAGAATTAACCTCTGAGGACTTCTAATCGAATGATGTTAGGTCCTATTTTGAGAACAGAAACTACCTAGATATCCAGCAAAAAAGTCTAGATAAAGACTAGATGAATATAATAGAAAACGTTGAAAGTATTTTCAAGCGAACAGAGGGTAAGGATCCCAAAGAAAACTATGAGGCTCTTCTAAACTAGATAAAAATTAAATCTGATGAGATATTTAGCTTACAAAAATCATAGATAACCTCAGAAGACTAGATTTACAATGAGATATTTGAGATGATTAAAGCTGTTGAGAGTCCAGAGAGATTAGGATTATATAACGAGAATAGAGGAGGGTAGAAATAAAATACCTAGGATTCAATGTTCAAGACATAATAGCCTAAATAAGGTGACACTTGGGAGCTATTAAAGAGATTGAAAACAGAAAGAATGAAGCAGAAGTTTGAAGCTAACTAAAAATCACCCTCGAAGCAAAAAGAGTAGCATGAAACAAACACATCAATGCTGTTTGGGGATAATGCTCATGATGCGAACTATGATAATCCAATGACAGGCTACATGAATGAGATTATTTTTACAAGGATAGTTGGGCACGAGGACATTCTGCTTGGAGATTAATGGAAAGATGGAAGTTAATGCTGGGTTTGCGAGAAATGGACTAAACAGGTAGTTTAATTTTAAGAAATGGATGAGTAATTAATGAAGGAGAGTATAACTCAGTTAGAACAACTAAAAAAGGCCATTTAAGATGTCATTAACAACAAAAGTTAGGTCTTCACTGTTTAATAGCAATCTCCATCTCAAATTCTCACGCCTAAGTCAACATACAATTTAAAAGATAGAAGGATGGTATTCTCTGAAGGGAGGGTTGATTCAAGAAATCTTTAAGCTAGGTCTGTTATTAAGAGCAACTAGCTATAGACTATAAATCTTGCCTCAATAAACTACAAAAATTAAGAGCAATTCATTATTGAAAAAGAAAAGAATAGAATGTAAAAGGTGAAACAATTGATAGGAGTTCATTATCCACCAGCTCTAACTTAGCAGCAGATTGAAAAATTGATACTACCTGAAAATTATGCAAAGGTAGTTAGTTTTAAAACCAAGAGCTCATTACTATCAAATCAAGACACTTTAATTACTAACCCCAAAATTGAAGTGAATGTCTAAAATTAGAAACAGCATAACTTTAATCTCAACATTAACCAAGTGAAGAATAATGAAGAAAATAATAGAATGGATTAAAAAAATTAATAAATTAAAGGAAGTCAAAAGACTAAAGGAAAAAGAAACTATAGCAGCGGAGATGATGAACTTTACTCAAGTGATGATGTAGATGACTTTGAAAAAGATGAAAAGCTTAATCAAGATTACGTTAGGAGGATCATGCCTAGCAAAAAGCAGTCTAGCTAAATTCCAACAGCAAGATCCCCAAAAGAAGCAGCCTAGGGAGGATAAAATCAAAAATAAACGATAGTTGTTTAAAATTAGCTGCAATCCCCTAATACAGAGCAAACCGTAGAAGAGTCGGAGATATAGGGTTCAAATTATTTGAAGAATGAGATATATGTCTGTGGTAGTTTCAACAATTGGTTTCCCTTAAAGCTTTTGACTTCAGAGGAGATTTATATGTAAAACAAAGAGCATGATGAAAAAATTGAAGCTCTAAACTAAGCCCTCAGTAAGTAAACAACATTCTCCAAGTAGAAAACTCTAAATGATGGGAAACCACCAAAAGATCCACTTGGCAAAGATGTATTAAGATTTGTGGATTTTTTCCCCCCTGGAAAACATTTCTTCTACTTTATTAAGAACATGAAATACTATTTCTTGTCTCCGAGGTATGAAATAGTCAGATTCAAGGGTTCCCACCTATTTCTAAATCAGACAGTGGTTTATCCTAGACTAGGCTAGTTGCAAGAATTAAAAGCTAAAGAGGGTAAGTCAGCAAACCAAGATAGAAGGTTTTTAAAAGAGAGAAGTGTATTCAAATCATGGAAAGATGAGAACGATGAAATACTGAAAAAAATGTTTGACTGCGATATGGGATACTCTAAGATTCATAGAATTATGAAGAACAATGAGGAAGAAATGAACTAAGTCAAAGACACTCTATTTATTTACTATAGGCAGCTAAAAAATATCTTTGTCTTGTATGCAAGTATCTCAACTTACCCTGTAATTTCCTGGAATGACTTTACCAACTTTTGCTACAGAGTAAGCATTAAATTTTAAGAAATTTATAGTGTAAAATAATAGACAAGATCCTAAATCTATCAACTTTGGATAGAGTATTCATCACAACTAATGTTGCTTTGCATAAATTCTCTTCCTCTGCAGATAGATGCCTATAAAGATACGAATTTATGGAAATTTTAATGAGACTGGCTAATGCTAAATTTAGAGATACCAACATTTGCCTTAATACTAGTGATGCTCTAGAAAAACTTATTCAAGAAAATATATTGCCAAACTCAGAGTATGTTGACAGTAAAATATTTCGAGAGCAAATTTTATACACTTACGAGGTTAATGAGATACTAGCTAGAAATGAAGCACCTTTGAAGAAAGTATTTGAACTTTATACTCATCCAAACAAGAAATATATAACTCTTAGGGAATGTATTGAGATAGTTAATAAGAGAGCTGACATGAAAATGATTGAAACAACGATCGGTTACTGTTTCGCTCAAAGTCTTATGCCAATTATTGATACAGTAAAAGATTAAACAAGGTGTGATCAGATGAAGTATGTTGAGTTTTTGGAATTCATTGGCAGAATTAGTTTTGAGTATTATAAGGAAATCGGAGGAGATGAAGAAACATTGCTTCATATAAAAATAGATAAAATACTGGGACCATTATTTAAAGGATCTGGAACATATAAGCATTTCTCATATCTATCGTCCTAGAATGTAGGACTTTCTGAAAGAAAATCATCAGATGAATCAGTAGATCTTGATGAAGAGGAACTTATGAAGGCTAATAAAATGATGGAAGATAGTAATGATAAATTTTAAAATGATGTGCTGTCATAATAGTAAATGCTAAGATTAGAATCATCGATGAAACAAAGAGAGAGTTACTTCAAAAAATATTAGAAGAAAATACTTAGTTACCAAATCAAACTATGAAAAAAACAATATAACATGAATTTAATATTCTTAATTTCATAATTTCAATTTATTCCAATCGTTAGATTTTAAATCGTGGGGTTTTGGGGTTTTGGGGTTTT